GACAACAGGCGTTGGGGAGGGGGGGGGGGCGTGGACGGGGGGCTAGCGGCGCGGCCGCAACCGCAGCGGACGGGGAGGTCGCGAGGTGGAGGTCCGGCAGCAAGGCCGCCGGCGGTCGGGGGCCGAGCGGCGAGTCGCCCTCCGCGTCGCTAGAGCCCATTCTTAGGTCCTCGACTTCGGAAGGCGTTAGTCAGGCAGCACACTAGCTCTCGTAGTTTTCTGCTTTACCAAGATTTTACATGGTCAAATGGTTACAACATTTCAAAATGTTCACAACCATAATGCTAGATTATAGGTTTCGTATATTTTCAAAACTCAAAACAGAATTCTTGTTATTTTGGATATTCGGCATTATGGTTGATATTTTTATAGATTTTAAAATAAAATTAAGTTTTTAAACATGCAACAATTGTTTCTAATTTCACATGTGCTGCCTCTGGCTCGCCACGCGCCAGTCGCTCATCGCCAACGCCGCCGTGCATGTCGTCATGTACGCCTACTACCTCTGCTGCACCCTTGGCCTCCGCTGGCCGCCGCGCTGGAAGCGCGCCGTCACCGAGCTGCAGATCCCGCAGTTCATCTTCAGCTTCGCGGCCTCCGTGGTCATGCTCTGGTTCCGCTTCGCCGGCAGCGGCTGCGAGGGGTTGGCCGGCTGGGCCTTCAACGCCTCCCTGCTCACGCTCTTCCTCAACTTCCACGGCGCTGCCTACGCCGCCAAGGCCAAGGCCAAGAAGAGCAGCAGCAATGGGGGGAAATCAGAGTGACGACGTGCGCGAACAAGGGGACTTCTTTTTAGATTACACAGATTTCTGATTGATTCCAGGCCTGTTTGATTTGTGATGAAATGCATTGCCCTTCCATTTTTGACAATTCTAGTTTTTCAAATTTTCCAAATCATCGAGATGTTCATGCAGCAGGCGAATGACAATAGCATCTTTGTTTGATTCCTCTGCTTTTCCTGCGTGAACTTCTACGAATTCTTAAGCTTTTTCCTTCAGTTTGAACTGAATGCGAATGTAGATTCAACGATGACAGTATGTTCTGTCAGGACTTATTTTTATCTTCTTCTTTTGTATGGAAATTTCTTTCTTCGTAGCAAGATTAATTAATTGGACAATTCATATTACTACATATTCATGTGTACTAAGTGGAACCAACCGAGCCTACATATTCATGAACTGTATTTTCTTCCGTATGTCAATAAGTACCGATTCAATTGTCAATGCTGGTATGGAATTGCATTATAACATTAAAATTACTGATAATCACGATGATTGCTTACAAAATATAGGTGCCTCCATCTGCAACACACAAACAATTATCTAGTCAATCTATAATAATCCCATCTGAATCTTAAGTCAACACAGGAAAGTTGGTCATGTCCAAATGGTTTCACCGACAATCATCGCAACTGTTAAGTCGAGTGTTGCTAGCTGTATCAAGACGTTCTCTGCACATCCTCACAGGGGTCAGGAACCTAAGCAGGAGCACCAACACTTTATTATCTAGGAGAACTACTCGGCGGCAAAACTCTCATGGACTCTAGTTTCTATGAGCGCCGTGTGACATCCTTGCCACGCAGTTGTTTGACATACTTCGTAGCCAATCATCGCTATGTCCTAGTGTGTCACATGATCCCCATAAATCTTGAGATGCAAAACACTGGTGAGTGGAGCATGTGAGACTCGGCCGCCCTGATATCTTTTGTTACCAGGACAACTAACTGTATTAAACTTATGTTGATAAGTGGCGATGTGTAGAGCAACTGCGTGCAGGAAACCAGAGGTGGTATCGAACACTTAGATCGTGTTTCCCTATGCATCCCAATCCTTCTCGGTCAATCTTGTTTTCCTTTTGTGCTCTTTAGGATGGATGAAGTATTATTGAAGATATGTGATAGACTCTGGACTCCAAAGGAAGAAGCATGCTACGAAAAGAGAGAGGACGCATGGAAAGGAACTTATGAGTGTCCAAATATCATTGGTATAGCATAGGCCGATCAACATATTAAATATCACTTACATCTCACCTATTCTCAATATTATCCTCCTCGCCCCCATGTGGTCTACATTGTCGAATCCTTCAATGTCTGCCCTTGGGGCGGTGCGGAGGCGGTGACAACTCGGGAGCGGTTGGAAGTGACGGGATGGGGCGGCAGTGTGGCGGCTCGGCAGGGTTCACAACGGTTACGTCGGACGACGTCGAAGGATTGGGATGAGGCGTTGGGCTCGGGGTGGCCGGGGGCCAGAATCAGATGATGCGTTCACATGACGGTGGTTAAGTTTGATGCCATCGTTTTGGGATTTTTGATAGTGTGTTAAGGAGGACCTAAATATTGTTCTAGGTGACAAAAAAATCATTTTTTTCATTCCCATGCAAAGAAAAATTAAAGTCGATTTGAGCCGTTTACTACGAGACCCCCCTCCCTCCCCCCCCCCACACACACACAAAAGAAATTAAGTTTGTACATACTCCCTCCGTTCTTTGAAGAGTGCACTTTCAACTTGTTGGAAATTCAAACAATTTTATGTTTGACCGTATTTATACCACAGTACACAAACCTTTATGCCATCAAATTATTAGCATTTGATTTATAATAAAAATATATTTTGATCATATACCTATTTGGTTTCACAAACATTGGTATATTTTTCCACAAACTCGATCAAACTTTGTGATAGTTTGACTCTTCAACAAAGTTGGAAGTACATTTTTTAAAGGACGGAGGGAGTAGGTTTTGGAAGTCTACTATTGCCTATTGGAGATGAACATAAGTATTAACATCACACATATCTAGATAAAATAGATGATATGACAAGTAATAAATAAAGAAAGAAAGACATGTGGTAACATAGCTAGTTACTACTAGTATGAGTAACATCACACATATCATGACAATATGAGTCTATATAGTCTAATAAATGAAATGTTGCATGTTACCACATATATGTTACTTGCCATTATAGAGGTAGTAATATACTCCCTCTGTCCTTTGAAAAAGTGTACTTCCGACTTTGTTGGAAAGTCAAACATATTTATATTTGACCGAATTTATATAACAATACACTAACATTTATGTCATTAAATTAGTAGGATTAGACTCGGGATAAAATATATTTTCATCATATATACCTATTTGGTTTCACAAACATTAATGTATTTTTACACCAGCTTGGTCAAACTTTAAGATAGTTTAATCCTTCAACGATGTTGAAAGTACACTAACGGAGGGAGTAGAGTAGTAACATGGGTGGCTAGTCGAAGGCGAGCCACGAGCCCACGACGGAGTCAACGAGTTTATCGGGTGATTATCAGTGGGGCCCACGTGAGCGTGACTTCAATCCCTCAATTTCGTTCTACTCCTGGTTCGGAGCACGGCACCAACCAAACCCCCAATCGAGCACGCCGTCCACTTCCGAGGTCGCGTGCGTGGATAGGGTTTGCGTCGCCGCCGTCCCGCCGACTGCGCCTCCCCGGCCCTCATCGTCGCGCCACCGCCGGGGAGACCAGGCCACCACCAGCCAAGCTACCGATCAATCGATCGATCGACCGAGGCGGTGATGGCGCACCAGATCCCCAAGGTCGCCCACACCCTCGTCGAGATCGCCGAGGTCGCGCGCTACGCCTACGAGCACCGCTCCGGCCACGCCCCGGACCACGACGGCGCCACGGCGCTGGCCGCCGACGGGGAGGAGGCCGCGCGGCTGCGGGCGGAGAACGCCGTCCTGCGCGCCCGCCTCGCGGACGACCTCGCCCTCCTTCGCGAGCTTCAGGGCGCACACTTTGTTTCCCAGGAGTGCCCTCCCGACGTGAGCCCCTCGCACCACCGCTTTCACGTCCTTGACGATTGTTCTTACCTATTTTCGCCACGATGGTGCATGATTAATTGTTACAGACACTTGTTTATCTGATTACAATGAGAAATTAGCTTCACTAGATTCATCATAACATATATTTTCATGCTATATATTTGATGTCGTAGATATTAGCGATATTTTCTCTTAACTTGATCGAACTTCAAACATTTTGGAACAGAGGTAGTAGCACCCTGGTTTTGTTGTTGGAAACAACACATACATGTCTGCGATTCGGCATGATTCAGCATCACAATGAGATACAACATCGTAGTTGTGGGCGGCTTTGAGCCATATCCATGCAGTGAAGTTACTTCTAAGCATTCTGCTCCATGTTATTAAAGATGGTGTTGGGATATGTTAAGTTTACAGCGTGACAAGAGCTAATCGTTTAATATCTCCACAATTGAACTCGAGATCAATAGTATAAGCTTATGGATTCATTATGCTGCAATGACACGTTATTCAGCTTATATAATTAAACGATTCTTCTTCATGCCGACTGACATCTTTTGGCGATGTGATTTTGTGGTGCAGTTGCATAATCGTCTTGTAGCATCAGTCAACAATGCTGGCTTCCTTGCCCATCTCGAGAAAGTACGAGACGAGCCGCTGCATCAACATACCAAACTGTCTATTGGCGGTGTGACAGGTTCATCCTTGCTAAAACCTTCTGAAGTTTGTTGCTGAACTATGCTTTCATAGCATTATAGCAACTGTTTATTACTTCATTCTTTTACATTCTGCAATTATTATGAGTTTAACATCTTTCTGTTTTCTATTCGAATCAAACCAGAGGTGGACATTGGAGATATTCCTTACACTAAAGATGAGGGGAAGACTGGCTCATGGCTCTTGGTTTCCTGTGATACTGCTGGGGGCAATCTGGAGGAAATTAGTGGAATTGATGACGAAAATTATGTGATGGTTAATGAAGATGACATCGTCGATGCTATCGCTACCTTTGTTGCTAGGTGCATTCTTGAAGATCCAAAGTCCAAGGTATTTTTATTTTCAAGAGTTGATACATCCTCTTCAGCACTGCTTCATCATCTAACTGTTTGTTGTTTTTTCTCCAGTCATTGTCATCGAAAGAGCTGCAAAAAGGTATGACTATCCTCCATGCTTCTGCCCTTATAAGTTAAAATTTGTAATTTTCTAAATGGTGTTCTGTTTCTGAAATCATTGCTTTCAAACAGTGAGACAAGCACATGGGTTGATTAATTAGGTTTATCTAGTTAGCGCTATTATGAGAAAGTTCACCACAATGGAGACATGCAAGCTGACAAAAAAAAAACCAGAATTTATAAGATAGGCTGTTTGCAGTTGAGAAAGTTAACCACAATGGAGACCCAGTGCGTCCAACTCTCAATAGTCCTTTTTGTTTCTGATTTCACATGTAGTTTGTGACATTGTGGAGATTAACAACTCACTGTTGTGTCATGAACTCATGATGGGTCTCTGCAATTTTCTGTTCTACTACAATTGTTGCATGTATTATCTTCTTAATTACCCGAGGATCTCTTGGGTCAGAGCATCATAGAGATGACCAACTATCACATCTGGTCCTATCTTAGAGACTCGGACTAGTTAACCATTATTTGAATTATCCTTTACTTCGATTGAGGTTGAATGATAGATTGTTCTCCGGCATTCTTTATTTCAGAGTAGACCAAATGTTTCTCTGACATTAGCTTAATTATATATTAGTACACATTTGAGGTACATTTTTGTTTGATTTGATATAGATTCTAACTTCTAATGTTTAAGCAGCTGTTGCAACGGCATTGAGCAGCATGACAGACAGGAAGAAATGGATAAGTTTCTGGGAGGCTGGAAAGGTGATCTACATACTGGCAACTTGGGGGATCACAATAGCAGGGTAAAGAGCTCTCATCTTGTGAAATTTGTATGTCGGCGTTACAACTTACTTACAAGCGAAAACTGAGTCATTCTGATTGTTATTTTGCGGTTGGATGCAGGCTGTACAGGAGTCGTGCCGTCCTGAAGATGGCAGCCAAAGGAGCTGTCGTCTCCACCAAATTTATCATGAAGGCATTGTGAGGTGCCAAGTGCTCAATAGTGGCATCATGATCACACGCAAGGGTCCGCAATTTGTAAATACAAACTCGTCGTGTCAACTGTACATATGTGTTGTGTGATATGATTTATCTGAGAACTATTCGTTGGTCAGTTGTGCTGTAACTTCTGAAATGATAATGATTTCTCTCATGTGTATGAATAATGGGGGCAACTATCTGCTTATCATGTCTCGAAGTCTCTCAAAATCTCTAGTGATTGATATAGGGGCGCTCTGCTCCGCATGTTTGTTGTGTGCCGGAGTCTCCCTGGAATGATTTGGCTTTCCTGGAACTGCCTTGCATGTTTGCAAAGAGGTCTCAGCCACTCCCATTAAACACATTAAGAGCCTGTTCGGATTTCATCTACTCCACAACTCTGCTCCCGGAGCAGGTGGAGCGGACCCGAACAATGTTACTCCGCGGAGTCAGCGGCATGGAGCGACAAAACAGCTGCTCCGTAGCTCTTGGAAACCAAGGAGTTAAACAAATTTACACAAGACTGCCGGTGGCCAACCTAGCACACAACAAATTTATAGAAGACTGCCTTGCATGAGTCTCCCTGGAGTGAAAGTACCGGTTCGTTCGGTACGGGCCACATGGCAGATTGTTGGGCTTTGGGCCGAACTCTTGATGAGGAGCGGAGCCAACAAGCCGAACGGTTTTCCTCGCTCGCACCATCGATCACGGGAGCAACTAGTTAACGAGCGCTCCTTTGGGAGTCTTGCAACGATCAGCATCACTTGGCGCGCTCTCAGCCATTTGCCATGTGTCGCGCTCTGGACGCTCCCTTCGAATTTTGTTTTTTTATTTTTCCTCACGTGTTTTCGGCTTTTTAAACGGGTTTTTTCGGGTTTTTTTTACGTTTTGGTTTTCCTCCGGTCTTTCTTAGCTTTGCGCGAAAAAACATGTTTCTTTCTTTTTTTTTATTTCGCGAAAGTCACGGTTTTTCTTCTGCGGGAGGCACGGTTGTGCTTTAGCGAGAGTCACGGTCGTGCCTTTCGAAAACAAAAAAAAAACATGTTTTCTGTTTTTTTTTTCTTTCGCGAGAGTCACGGTTTTGCTTCCACGAGAGGCACGGTTGTGATTTCGCGAGGCACGGATGTGCCTCTTTCGGAAAGGGAAAAAACCATGCCCCGGTCCGGTTTTTTTGCCCGGTTTTTTCGTCCGGTTTTTTCATGAAAAAAAGTTCGTCAAAACCTATCAACATGGGATCTAGTTTTGAAGATCTCGACGTGAGGAATCCAACGGTTCGAGATTTGGACGCACGGTTTAAGAGATAAAACGTTTTGAATAAACGGATCTACGAAAAAAGGGATAACTCCCAGGTCGCGACAAGTGGCGCGCTGCATGTGCGCCACTTGTCGCGACTCAGGAAAGTGGAGTGCTCTTTGCAACGAGTACTCCTTAATTAGTGATTTCGATCGATCAGGAGTTGCAATTCATACGGAGTAGTCGGAGCGCAGGATTTTGTGAAGCGAGTGGATTACCGAACAGGGCCTAAGTACACGTGAAGGGCGGCCAACCTGGTTGCCAGCGGTGAGAAATCTTTTGGATATTTTTAGATGAAGGTGTGGATTATTTTTTTAATGTATTTTTTCTTTTTAGATGGAGGTGAGAACTTCTTGTATTTTTTAAGTGAAGGGTTATACAAAGTGGCACTCGTTGGTAGGCTGCGGTGATAATTTTTTTTCTTTTTTTCCTTTTAAATGAATGAAGATTTTTTTTCTGAGAAGATTTTTTCATGGAGACGAGGACTATGTATTTTTTTAAATAAAAAATTTTGCACAACTTCCTCTCAAGCGGCGTCACAGGGTGGCGCCCCAACCACTAGTATGCAAAAAAGATCCCGTCTCTTTGGACCAGCCACATCCCTTCTCACCTAATCTTTAACACACCTCCGATATCCTTTTTGATATATACCATTTCTTTCTTCAGTTTTGTGAATATGTATTAGTCCATTTTGAATTGGTTGCAAGACATGGGCACTTCTGCCTTGCTTTTGGGGAGGAAGCACGGGGCATTTTGAGCTATGCTCACGGCGCACCTTCAAAAATTTTGATGTAATTTTATCTATGAATGTGTTTTTAAGGTCTTGTGATATTTAATATATAGTGTCCAGCCCTTCTGGAAAAAAAAGAGGCACATGCCTGTTGATTGTTTTTTTTTTTTTTTTGAGAAAGAGCATGGGCACTTTGCTAACAGGAGAAAATTAATCTTTTTGAGGGGTAAGTGGGGGTAGGAGAAAATTAATATTTTTTAGGGGGGAAATTATTCTTTTTTTATAATAAGGAGAAAATTAATCTGGCTTCCTTTTTTTAGGTCATTAATCTCGCTTCCAAACGGGCCTTATTAAGGCGATGTGTGAACGTTCCTGGGTTGGGCCGATCGGGCCAACCCAACCCAAAGCCTGAGGTCTTGCTCGACCCAGCTTCTTCTTTCCCTGTCTCTCCTGTATCCGCTCGCCGTTTACCCAAACCCTTGTCCCCGCGCCGCCACCCCCAAGAACCTCATCGGCTCCGGTCCTCCTCCGGCCGGCAGAGGCATCGAATCCCCCACGCCACATCCTCCAATGGCCACCAAGTCCCAAAAGAAGAAGAAGCTCTCCGCCCCCAACCCCTCCATCGACGCCAAGGCCCCCTCCCCCAAACAAAAGCCTACCCCTCAGAAACCCGCGGAGGAGCCAGAGACGGCGGCGGCGGCCGCCAAGAAGCCGAAGCCGAAGAAGCAGAAGGTGGGCAAGGAGGTCTCTGCCAAGAAGCCGAAGGAGGGCAAGCAGGTCTCTGCCAAGAAGCAGAAGGAAAGCAAGGAGGTCTCTGCCAAGAAGCCCAAGAAGCAGAAGGAGAGCAACGAGATCGACGAGATCTTCGAGGCCACCAAGAAGCGCAAGCTGCAGGAGGAAGAGGAGGAAGAGTCCGAGGGGGACAAGAAGCCCAGGAAGGGCAAGGCCGAGGGGGCTAGCAAGAAGAAGAGCAAGAAGGAGACTGGGGGCAAAGGCTGGGAGCCCGGCCACGATGACGAGGTCGAGGAGAAGCGGCCGCGGCGGCGCACCAACGACGGGCTCACCATATACTCCGCCGACGAGCTCGGGTTCGGCAAGGCCGACGCCGGCGGCACTGCCCTCTGCCCCTTCGACTGCGACTGCTGCTTCTGAGCCTTTCAGGGGTCCTCCGTGCCTGAGGTGATGTAATCGGCATACGTCGCAGTGGTGTTTGTTGTAATCCTCGGTTGATTCGATAACTATGTGCTTAGACGTGTGATCGGATGAAATGGAATTTTGGTTCTCTGATATTGTCAGTTTTGCAAGAGCTCCAGATTATATATCTTTCTAGATCAACCGGTTGGTTGTTTCAACATTTTGTTTTGTTTTAAATCTTAGCATAGATGGCGGGAGTACTTCGACAAGCTGTTCAATGGGGAGAATGAGAGTTCTACCATTGAACTGAATGACTCCTTTGATGAGACCAGCATGCATTTTGTGCGGCGCATCCAGGAGTCTGAGGTGAAGGAGGCTTTAAAAAGGATGAAAGGAGGCAAGGCGATGGGCCCTGATTGTATCCCCATTGAGGTGTGGAAAGGTCTCGGGGACATAGCGATAGTATGGCTAACCAAGCTTTTCAACCTCATTTTTCGGGCAAACAAGATGCCAGAAGAATGGAGACGGAGTATATTAGTACCAATCTTCAAGAACAAGGGGGATGTTCAGAGTTGTACTAATTACCGTGGAATTAAGCTGATGAGCCATACAATGAAGCTATGGGAGAGAGTCATTGAGCACCGCTTAAGAAGAATGACAAGCGTGACCAAAAATCAGTTTGGTTTCATGCCTGGGAGGTCGACCATGGAAGCCATTTTCTTGGTACGACAACTTATGGAGAGATATAGGGAGCATAAGAAGGACTTGCATATGGTGTTCATTGACTTAGAGAAGGCCTATGATAAGATACCGCAGAATGTCATGTGGTGGGCCTTGGAGAAACACAAAGTCCCAGCAAAGTACATTACCCTCATCAAGGACATGTACAATAATGTTGTGACAAGTGTTCGAACAAGTGATGTCGACACCGATGACTTCCCGATTAAGATAGGACTGCATCAGGGGTCAGCTTTGAGCCCTTATCTTTTTGCATTGGTGATGGATGAGGTCACAAGGGGTATACAAGGAGATATCCCATGGTGTATGCTCTTTGCGGATGATGTGGTGCTAGTTGACGATAGTCGGACGGGGGTAAATAGGAAGTTAGAGTTATGGAGACAAACCTTGGAATCGAAAGGGTTTAGGCTTAGTAGAACTAAAACCGAGTACATGATGTGCGGTTTCAGTACTACTAGCTGTGAGGAGGAGGAGGTTAGCCTTGATGGCCAGGTGGTACCTCGGAAGGACACCTTTCGGTATTTGGGGTCAATGTTGCAGGAGGATGGGGTATTGATGAAGATGTGAACCATCGAATCAAAGCCGGATGGATGAAGCGGCGCCAAGGTTCTGGCATTCTCTGTGACAAGAGAGTGCCACAAAAGCTAAAAGGCAAGTTCTACAGGACGGCGGTTCGACCCGCAATGTTGTATGGCGCGGAGTGTTGGCCGACTAAAAGGCGACATGTTCAACAGTTAGGTGTGGCGGAGATGCGTATGTTGAGATGGATGTGTGGCCACACGAGGAAGGATCGAGTCCGGAATGATGATATACGAGATAGAGTTGGGGTAGCACCAATTGAGGAGAAGCTTGTCCAACATCGTTTGAGATGGTTTGGGCATATTCAGCGCAGGCCTCCAGAAGCTCCAGTGCATAGCGGACGGCTAAAGCGTGCGGAGAATGTCAAGAGAGGGCGGGGTCGGCTGATTTTGACATGGGAGGAGTCCGTTAAGAGAGGCCTGAAGGATTGGAGTATCGACAAAGAGCTAGCTATGGACAGGGGTGCGTGGAAGCTTGCTATCCATGTGCCAGAGCCATGAGTTGGTTGCGAGATCTTATGGGTTTCACCTCTAGCCTACCCCAACTTGTTTGGGACTAAAGGCTTTGTTGTTGTTGTTGTTGTTGTTTAAATCTTAGCTGTTTCAAGTAAAATTTTGTCTGATGGGAGGAAATTGATCTTGTTGAGGTATTGCATGAGCATTGGAGCTTTTTATATGATGTTAATGTTTGAGTTGCCTAAAGGGCCTTGTAGAGAATACATATTTTTAGAAAGAGATTGTTATGGCATGATGATCAGGGGAGACAGAAACACCATTTAGTCAACTGGCCAGCCTTTGAATCAAGTGGGTTTGCAGTAGTGGATCTTGAGGTTAAGAATGTTGTTTTGTTAAGTAAAATGGACATGAAAGTTAGAAAATGAGAAGGAACTGCTGCAGAGTTTAATTCTTGGAATGTATGTTAGGCTGGCTAATCCAGCACAAGTTCAGTTTAAGGCTGCTCAATCCCATTTCCTTCATGGAGACCTAAACGTGAGAGATGACGTTATAGGTTTGTAGCAAAAACTAGTCAGATGCCCGTGCTACGCTACGGGATCCCACAAGATTAGATGGATTTAATTATAGTCAGGAACCCATATGTAGCAGCATGTGTCAAAAACAAAGGAGAACCACTGAGAACGAACGTTCCACCACTGAAACTGGTCATTGGCAAGCGCTGTCGTGATGAGCATGCCTTCCTAAGCTAGACATACGCCAATGCGTTGTCTCGGACTTGAGTTGGGCAAGACCATCGAGCCATCCAAGTGCTCGATGATATGCTCGCAAGGGAGCATGATGTAGAAGATGTCCCTATGCATCCCAGCCCTATTGGTTCATTTCTGCTTGTCTTACTATGCTCGTGACGAAAGTGGATATCGTAAGAGGGGGTTGAGGGAGAATACATGGACAGTAAACTGAAATATAAAGCATGCAGGCACTATTCTCGCTAGCAATCACATGTTTGCGTATTCGATGTTATTAATAGACATTTGTTGTTTACATCTGCTCCCAGCGCTACACAATCTAATGCCTCAATGCCTTCAGAAAAATGTACACATGGCACTAGGTGTGCATAAGTGTCATCTTCAATGTTAGGTACCTCAGCTTACTCCTTTACCCTTCATTTTTGAAAATAAGAATACACATAGATAATGAAAATTTATTCTAAAAATGCTTTTTAGTGTTATCTCTGGAAATTGATGTCCTAATAGATATAAGTACACGGATTAGAACAGTTTTGGAAAAATATGATGATACAATAAGATTTGGTACAATAAATAAATATATCATTCTGAGTTTCTGACGCGAACAGATTACATTCACCATGCCTAAATACATCAACAAATATCTAACAATTACATTTCTAACTTCGTTTGCAGCTTATATTTTCACATTACCGGCTGATGGTCTTGCTTGGAAACCATATTGAGCGGCAGAATATCAGTTTGTCTATCTGTAGTGATGGCTCCTGTATAGCTATTTCCGTTCCCAAAGTAGCTATAGAAGTTGTTTTTATTAAGGTTGTTGTGGTTGCTGGTACTTTCAGAATTTGACAGAACTCTGTTTCAGTTTCATTGAGAAAGGAAATTGGGAGCTCTGCTCCTATTGTCCGTAAAAATTCTACTTGTTTCACGAAGCTGCCTAGTTTTTGTGATAAGCGTCGAGAATTGGTAGCTCACTCGTCATTTGCCGGAGCATCATGAACTTGCTTACATTATATACTGACTGGAGTTGGGTTGATCTCGTTCTGATACGCCTATTGAGCCCTATAAAATACTTATGATATGGTATATCAATATCATTACCATCAGGAGTGTTTCACAGCGTTATGTTAGCTTCATTGCCAAACCCAAACTCAATGAAACAAGAATCCCCTTTTAGGTACTACATGTTTGTGGACAAACCCATCCTTATGAATGTGCAAATTAAAGGTGCTTCTCGGCTACGGTTCAAGAGATGTTCTACATTGCAAGTTACATCTCAAGCTAGAAGCATGTTTCCGTAATGTGTCAAGCTGGAAGGAGAAGCGGCCACGGCGGCACACATATTACGGGCTCACCATATACTCCGCCGATGAGCTCGGATTTGGCAAGGCCGATGCCGGCGGCACCGCTCTCTGCCCCTTTGACTGTGACTGCTGCTTCTGAGCCTTTTAGGGGTCCTCCGTTCCTGAGGTGATGTAACCAGGTTACATCCTGGTGGTGTTTGTTGTAATGCTCGGTTAATTCGATAACTATGTGCTTAGACGTGTGATCAGGTGAAAAGGAATTTTGGTTCTCTGATATTGTCAGTTTTACAGGTGCTCCAGATTATATATCTTTCTAGCTCAATCAGTTACTTTTTTCAATATATTTTTTATAAAAAAAGCTTAGATGTTTCAAGTGAAATTCTTTCTTATGGGAAAAAATTGATCTTACTGAGGAATTGCATGAGCCTAAAGGGCATTGTAAGAGAATACATATTTTTTTGGAAGAGATTGTTATGCCATGATGATTAGGGAAGACAGAAACACCACTTAGTCAACTGGCCAGCCTTTGGATCAAGTGGGTTTGGAGTAGTGGATCTCGAGGTTAAGAATGTTGTTTTGGTAAGTAAATGGACATGGAAGTTGGAAAATAATAAGGAACTGTTGCAGAGTTTAATTCTTAGAAAATATGTTTGGCAGGCCAATCTAGCACAAGTTCAGTTTAAGGCTGCTCAATCTCATTTCCTTCATGGAGACCTGAAAGTGGGAGATGTCGTTATAGGTTTGTAGAAAAATAGTGGGGTCTTGGCTCAAAAGTCAAAACTAGGTTTTGGAAGGATGTGGGCGTGTCGAAGGAGGAGGATAGGTGTAGATGGATACTCAGTAGATCTGCTAAGTATTTAGCCCTGAAATTAGCCAAGGTAAGATGTCCATATGAAAAACTATGGCTCGTTGAAGTGCCTTTAAAAATCAGAGTTTTTATTTGGCTTGTTCTTACATAGCATTTCAACTAAAGACAGTCTATTAAGAAAGGTAAAATTTGTATGGTCTGTAGTGAACAGTAGACTAGTATGGTTAGATATGTTGTTTAATTATGCTTTGAAGATTGACACAACTAGATCCACGGTTCTTTAGCTCCGTAGATGGGTAATGTGTTTCGATGGTAAGATGTGTAACTTAGTGGCAGGTAGGGATCATGGCGCTGCTTTGGTCCTTAGGGAAATCAGGAATGCCACTTG